CGTGTTCGTCTATGTGAGTGACAAATGGTGCAAACAGTATACAGTGAGAGACATTATATATAACCCAGACATATAACTGCTCTGTGCATCCCTGAGACCACACTACTTGCCAAGGGAGTTTGGCAATTTCACAATGGCTGCTGTTGTTGTCTTTGCCAGATACTGAGGTCATTTCTTCATCTAGTATTTTTCAGTGAAATGCTGTAAAGGTATGTGTCCTTTCTGACAGCATAATTAAACTGCACTTAATTATCTGCAACTCACAACTCTAATTTATTGCAGATGGATCTCATTTAAGTCACACCAGAAAAGATAAGATCATTGTCATATTAAAGGTATATTGTTTTATACTTACAGATACATTAGGATGGAAAGAGCCTTTTATGTTGTAGCTGGTAAAGGTAGAATTACAGTTTTAATTTAAACTGCTTCATAGGGCATTGTTATAAGATACAGGTACAGGTAAGGCAACACAAAAGTTTAAAGTTGCATAAGACATTAGGGCGTAAACACAAGATATAAAAAAACACAGGTAACAAAGACTACAGTCTGTACAATTAGCATCATCGTTGAATAGAGTGTAGATGGGTTGCCAGTTTCACCGCATTCCAGATTATGAATAAACAAGAAGGACATGTGAAGAAAGGGACATTATAATAATGTGTGAGTAAAGCAGTTAGTTAGTAAAACTAACTGCTGTGTATTCCTACTACTATGTAAAAATGAATAAAAGTAGCAGAAATTATATAATATGATAATATTCCATAAGGGAAGTTGAAGAAGAAAAATCTCAAGAGTACATTTGTATACAGTGAAAATGCACGTTGGTTAGTACCACATACACTTTCCAAAATCTAAATTATTTTTAAAATACTTAGGATGATAAAAGTCATTGGTTTTGGATCTATTGTTATTTGGTTTATAACATCATCAGATGTCAGGGATATAGAAATTAAGTGGATTTTCATTGTTGTCAGTGGTGTTTACACAGTCCATTGACTTTTATCACGATGTAGACAGTAATATTATCTAAATAACATTATCTAACATCTACATCGATCAGTGATCAACTTTATCCCAATGTGATGCATCCTGCACCTCAATTGCTCAGCTCCGTGAAGCACAATGCAGATTCAAAAGTAGAAGTCCCATCATCTTTGTGTTGCAAGGGCTTACCACAAATATTTATAGAAACCAAAAACATATTGTCAATATAATTTCTAGAAGAAGTGAAAATGCACATTGGTCAGAACCATATTCCCTTTCCAAAATCTTATTTGATATCTGATATTTAAAATTCTTTGGTATATACAATTCATTGAAATTGTACTTGTTTAAATATAGAAATTAGGTATTTATATTTACACAACTAAAATTAGAAATGGGTGTGGGAAGGTGTGTTGAGGTGATGACTTAGATGATTTTCCAATTGACAAAAAATTTAGTAAATGTCTAAATGGTCACACAGTAAAAATGGGAACACACCCAATCCCTGTGGGTGTTACCTAGGCATCTGTCACAAATGTATTCAGTACCTGTGCAGTATATAAGGTGCTGCAGCACTGATAAAGTGTAGTATCACCATCAAGAAAAACTAATCTACACTATTTACCTGTTCATCATGATGAAGCTGATACTTTCTCTGACTCTGATCTGGGCGCTCTCCAGCACAGGTAACCCCATTTATTCTTACCATACAGGTTCTGCAGGTACTAGAGAGCACCAATTAAAACTTTTAGGAATTTTAATAATCTTTCACTAATTGTGGTGAGATAATTTATTTTAATAAACCAAAATTATTTGTATCTAAAACATAAAAAAATCTTATAAAATTGTAGTAATGACTTAACTGATTGACATTATTATTACACAACAACAACTACAGCCCTGACAACAACTGCTGCCCAAACTACGACAACAACTGCTGGCCCAACAACTACAACTGCCGCCCCAACAACGACTGCTGCCACAACAACGACTGAAGCCCCAACAACTACAACTGTTGCTCCAACAACCACGACTGCTCCCCCAGCAACAACTGCAGCCCCAACAACAACTGCAGCACCGACAACAACCACCACACTGACAACAACCGCTGCCACCACAAAAACTGCAGCCCCAACAGCAACCCCTGAAGCCCCAACAACAACAACTGCAGCCCCAAAAACAACTGCAGCCCCAAAAACAACCGCCACACCGACAACAACCGCTGCCACCACAACAACTGCAGCCCCAACAACAACCACTGCAGCCCCAACAACATCTGCTGCCCCAACAACAACCACTGCAGCCCCAACAACAACTGCTGCCCCAACAACTGCTGCTGCCACCACAACTGCAGCCCCAACAACAACTGCTGCTGCCTCCACATCAACTGCTGCCCCAACAACAACTGCAGCACCAACAACAACTGCCACACCGACAACAACCGCTGCCCTGACAACTGCAGCCCCAACAACAACTGCTGCCCCAACAACGACTGCTGCCACCACAACAACTGCAGCCCCAACAACAACCACTGCAGCCCCAACAACTACTGCCACCACATCAACTGCAGCCCAAACAACAGAAGCCCCAACAACATCTGCTGCCCCAACAACAACTACCTCACCGACAACAACCGCTGCCACCACAACAACTGCAGCCCCAACAACAACCACTGGAGCCCCAACAACCACTGCAGCCCCAACAACTGCAGCCACAACAACCACTGCTGCTCAAACAACCATTGCAGCCTCAACTACTGCTGCCCCAACAACAACTGCTGCCCCAACAACAACCACTGCAGCCCCATCGACAACAACTTCAGCCCCAACAACAAATGCTGCCCCAACAACAACTGCAGCACCAACAACTGCCACACCGACAACAACCGCCACCCCGACAACAACCGCTGCCCCCAACAACAACTGCAGCCCCAACAACAAGCCACCACAACAACTGCAGCCCCAACAACAAGCACTGTAGCCCCAACAACAAGCACTGTAGCCCCAACAACGACTGCTTCCCCAACAACAACTGCAGCCCCAACAACAACTGCAGCCCCAACAACAACAACTGCAGCCCCAACAACAACCACTGCAGCCCCAACAACAACCACTGCTGCCTCCACATCAACTGAAGCCCCAACAACAACCACTGCAGCCCCAACAATAACTGCAGCACCGACAACAACCGCCACACCGACAACAACCGCTGCCACCACAACAAATGCAGCCCCAACAACAACCACTGCAGCCCCAACAACAACCACTGCAGCCCCAAAAACAACGGCTCCCCCAACAACTGCTGCCCCAACAACGACTGCTGCCACCACAACAACTGCAGCCCCAACAACAACAACTGCAGCCTTAACAACAACCACTGCTGCCTCCACATCAACTGCAGCCCCAACAACCACCACTGCAGCCCCAACAACTGCTGCCCAAACTACAACCACTGCAGACCCAACCTCAACAACTGTTGCCCCAACAACAACTGCAGTTCTAACAACAACGACTGCAGCCCCAACAACAAACACTGTAGCCCCAACAACAGCTGCTGCCCCAACAACAACTGCACCCCCGACAACAACCACTGCAGCCCCAACAACTGCAGCCCCAACAACGACTGCTGCCACCACAACAACTGCAGCCCCAACAACAACCGCTGAAACCTCAACAACAACCACTGCTGCCCCAACAACCACCACTGAAGCCCCTACAACAACTGAAGCCCCAAAGACTGCAGCCCCAACAACAACCACTGCAGCCCCAACAACCACCACTGCAGCCCCAACAACAACGACTGCAGCCTCAACAACAACTGCTGCTCCAACAACAACGACTGCTGCCACCACAACAACTGCAGCCTCAACAACTGCTGCCCCAACAACGACTGCTCCCCCAACAACTGCTGCCCCAACAACGACTGCTGCCCCCACAACAACTGCAGCCCCAACAACAACCACTGCAGCCTCAACAACCACTGCTGCCCCAACAACAACGACTGCAGCCCCAACAACAACCGCTGCCCCAACGACTGCTGCCACCATAACAACTGCAGCCCCAACAACAACTGCAGCCCAAACAACAACAACTGCAGCCCCAACAACAACTGCAGCACCGACAACAACCGCCACACCGACAACAACCGCTGCCACCACAACAAATGCAGCCCAAATAACAACCACTGCTGCCCCAACAACCACTGCAGACCCAACAACAACTGAAGCCCCAAAGACTGCAGCCCCAACAACAACCACTGCAGCCCCAACAACCACCACTGCAGCCCCAACAACAACGACTGCAGCCTCAACAACTACTGCTGCTCCAACAACAACGACTGCTGCCACCACAACAACTGCTGCCCCAACAACTGCTGCTGCCACCACAACTGCAGCCCCAACAACAACTGCTGCTGCCTCCACATCAACTGCTGCCCCAACAACAACTGCAGCACCAACAACAACTGCCACACCGACAACAACCGCTGCCCTGACAACGGCAGCCCCAACAACAACTGCTGCCCCAACAACGACTGCTGCCACCACAACAACTGCAGCCCCAACAACAACCACTGCAGCCCCAACAACTACTGCCACCACATCAACTGCAGCCCAAACAACAGAAGCCCCAACAACATCTGCTGCCCCAACAACAACTACCTCACCGACAACAACCGCTGCCACCACAACAACTGCAGCCCCAACAACAACAACTGCAGCCCCAACAACCACTGCAGCCCCAACAACTGCAGCCACAACAACCACTGCTGCTCAAACAACCATTGCAGCCTCAACTACTGCTGCCCCAACAACAACTGCTGCCCCAACAACAACCACTGCAGCCCCATCGACAACAACTTCAGCCCCAACAACAAATGCTGCCCCAACAACAACTGCAGCACCAACAACTGCCACACCGACAACAACCGCAGCCCCAACAACAACCACTGCAGCCCCAACAACAACCGCCACACCGACAACAACCGCTGCCACCACAACAACTGCAGCCCCAACAACAAGCACTGCAGCCCCAACAACAAGCACTGTAGCCCCAACAACAACTGCTCCCCCAACAACGACTGCTTCCCCAACAACAACTGCAGCCCCAACAACAACTGCAGCCCCAACAACAACCACTGCAGCCCCAACAACAACCACTGCTGCCTCCACATCAACTGAAGCCCCAACAACAACCACTGCAGCCCCAACAATAACTGCAGCACCGACAACAACCGCCACACCGACAACAACCGCTGCCACCACAACAAATGCAGCCCCAACAACAACCACTGCAGCCCCAAAAACAACGGCTCCCCCAACAACTGCTGCCCCAACAACGACTGCTGCCACCACAACAACTGCAGCCCCAACAACAACCACTGCAGCCTTAACAACAACCACTGCTGCCTCCACATCAACTGCAGCCCCAACAACCACCACTGCAGCCCCAACAACTGCTGCCCAAACTACAACCACTGCAGACCCAACAACAACTGTTGCCCCAACAACTGTTGCCCCAACAACAACTGCAGCACTAACAACAACGACTGCAGCCCCAACAACAACCACTGTAGCCCCAACAACAACTGCTGCCCCAACAACAACTGCACCCCCGACAACAACCACTGCAGCCCCAACAACAACTGCTCCCCCAACAACTGCAGCCCCAACAAGGACTGCTGCCACCACAACAACTGCAGCCCCAACAACAACCGCTGAAACCTCAACAACAACCACTGCTGCCCCAACAACCACCACTGAAGCCCCAACAACAACTGAAGCCCCAAAGACTGCAGCCCCAACAACAACCACTGCAGCCCCAACAACCACCACTGCAGCCCCAACAACAACGACTGCAGCCTCAACAACTACTGCTGCTCCAACAACAACGACTGCTGCCACCACAACAACTGCAGCCTCAACAACTGCTGCCCCAACAACGACTGCTCCCCCAACAACTGCTGCCCCAACAACGACTGCTGCCCCCACAACAACTGCAGCCCCAACAACAACCACTGCAGCCTCAACAACCACTGCTGCCCCAACAACAACGACTGCAGCCCCAACAACAACCGCTGCCCCAACGACTGCTGCCACCATAACAACTGCAGCCCCAACAACAACTGCAGCCCAAACAACAACAACTGCAGCCCCAACAACAACTGCAGCACCGACAACAACCGCCACACCGACAACAACCGCTGCCACCACAACAAATGCAGCCCAAATAACAACCACTGCTGCCCCAACAACCACTGCAGACCCAACAACAACTGTTGCCCCAACAACAACTGCAGCACTAACAACAACGACTGCAGCCCCAACAACAACCACTGTAGCCCCAACAACAACTGCTGCCCCAACAACAACTGCAGCCCCGAGAACAACCACTGCAGCCCCAACAACAACTGCTCCCCCACAACTGCAGCCCCAACAAGGACTGCTGCCACCACAACAACTGCAGCCCCAACAACAACCGCTGAAACCTCAACAACAACCACTTCTGCCCCAACAACCACCACTGAAGCCCCAACAACAACTGAAGCCCCAAAGACTGCAGCCCCAACAACAACCACTGCAGCTCCAACAACCACCACTGCAGCCCCAACAACAACGACTGCAGCCTCAACAACTACTGCTGCTCCAACAACAACGACTGCTGCCACCACAACAACTGCAGCCTCAACAACTGCTGCCCCAACAACGACTGCTCCCCCAACAACTGCTGCCCCAACAACGACTGCTGCCCCCACAACAACTGCAGCCCCAACAACAACCACTGCAGCCTCAACAACCACTGCTGCCCCAACAACAACGACTGCAGCCCCAACAACAACCACTGCAGCCCCAACAACAACTGCTGCCACCATCCCAACAACTGCAGCCCCATCAACAACTGCAGCCCAAACAACAACAACTGAAACCCCAACAACAACTGCAGCACCGACAACAACCGCCACACCGACAACAACCGCTGCCACCACAACAAATGCAGCCCAAATAACAACCACTGCTGCCCCAACAACCACTGCAGCCTCAACAACTGCTGCCCCAACTACGACTGCTGCCCCAACAACAACAACTGCAGCCCCATCAACAACTGCGGCCCCAACAACGACTGCTGCCACCACAACAACTGCAGCCCCAACAACAACCACTGCAGCCCCAACAACAACCGCCACACCGACAACAACCGCTGCCACCACAACAACTGCAGCCCCAACAACAAGCACTGCAGCCCCAACAACAAGCACTGTAGCCCCAACAACAACTGCTCCGCCAACAACGACTGCTTCCCCAACAACAACTGCAGCCCCAACAACAACTGCAGCCCCAACAACAACTGCGGCCCCAACAACGACTGCTGCCACCACAACAACTGCGGCCCCAACAACAACCACTGCTGCCCCAACAACAACCACTGCAGCCCCAACAACAAGTGCAGCACCGACAACAACCGCCACACCGACAACAACCGCTACCACCACAACAAATGCAGCCCCAACAACCACCACTGCAGCCCCAACAACAACGACTGCAGCCTCAACAACTACTGCTGCTCCAACAACAACGACTGCTGCCACCACAACAACTGCAGCCTCAACAAACTGCTGCCCCAACAACGACTGCTCCCCCAACAACTGCTGCCCCAACAACGACTGCTGCCCCAACAACAACCACTGCAGCCCCAACAACAACCACTGCAGCCTCAACAACCACTGCTGCCCCAACAACAACGACTGCAGCCCCAAAAACAACCGCTGCCCCAACGACTGCTGCTACCATAACAACTGCAGCCCCAACAACAACTGCCGCCCAAACAACAACAACTGCAGCCCCAACAACAACTGCAGCACCGACAACAACCGACCGCCACACCGACAACAACCGCTGCCACCACAACAAATGCAGCCCAAATAACAACCACTGCTGCCCCAACAACCACTGCAGCCTCAACAACAACTGCTGCCCCAACAACTACCACTGCTGCCCCAACAACAACAACTGCAGCCCCATCAACAACTGCAGCCCCAACAACACACAACCACTGCAGCCCCAACAACAACCACTGCTGCCCCAACAACTGTTGCCCCAACAACAACTGCAGCACTAACAAAAACCACTACAGCCCCAACAACAACTGCTGCCCCAACAACAACCGCTGCCCCAACCACTGCTGCCCCAACAACCACTGCAGCCTCAACAACCACTGCTGCTCCAACAACAACGACTGCTTCCCTAACTACCACTGCTGCCCCAACAACAACGACTGCAGCCCCAACAACCACTGCAGCCTCAACAACGACTGCTACCACCACAACAACTGCAGCCCCAACAACAACCACTGCAGCCCTAACAACAACTGCAGCCCCAACAACAACTGCTCCCCCAACAACTGCTGCCCCAACAACGACTGCTGCCACCACAAGAACTGCAGCCCCAACAACAACCACTGCAGCCTCAACAACAACCACTGCTGCCTCCACATCAACTGCAGCCCCAACAACCACCACTGCAGCCCCAACAACAACTGAAGCCCCAACAACTGCTGCCCCAACAACAACCACTGGAGCCCCAACAACTGTTGCCCCAACAACAACTGCAGCACTAACAACAACGACTGCAGCCCCAACAACAACCACTGCAGCCCCAACAACAACCACTGCTGCCCCAACAACAACCGCTGCCCCAACAACCACTGCAGCCTCAACAACTACTGCTTCTCCAACAACAACGACTGCTGCCACCACAACAACTGCAGCCCAAACAACCACTGCTGCCCCAACAACTGCTGCCCCAACAACCACTGCAGCCTCAACAACGACTGCTGCCACCAAAGCAACTGCAGCCCCAACAACAACCACTGCAGCCCCAACAACAACCGCTCCCCCAACAACCACTGCAGCCTCAACAACCACTGCTGCTCCAACAACAACGACTGCTGCCACCACAACAACTGCAGCCCCAACAACAACTGAAGCCCCAACAACAACTGCTGCCCCAACAACGACTGCTGCCACCACAACAACTGCAGCCCCAACAACCACCACTGCAGCCCCAACAACAACTGAAGCCCCAGCAACTGCTTCCCCAACAACAACCACTGCAGCCCCAACAACTGTTGCCCCAAAAACAACTGCAGCACTAACAACAACGACTGCAGCCCCAACAACAACCACTGCAGCCCCAACAACAACTGCTGCCCCAACAACAACCACTGCTGCCCCAACAACAACAGCTGCCCCAATAACCGCTGCCCAAACAACTGCTGCCCCAACAACCACTGCTGCCCCAACAACCACTGCAGCCTCAACAACGACTGATGCCACCAAAACAACTGCAGCCCCAACAACAACCACTGCAGCCCCAACAACAACCGCTCCCCCAACAACAACTGCAGCACTGACAACAACCGCCACACCAACAACAACCGCTGCCACCACAACAAATGCAGCCCCAACAACAACCACTGCAGCCCCACCAACAACTGCTGCCCCAACAACCACTGCAGCCTCAACAACCACTGCTGCTCCAACAACAACGACTGCTGCCACCACAACAACGGCAGCCCCAACAACAACCACTGCAGCCCCAACAACTCCTGCCCCAACAACAACCACTGCTGCCCCAACAACAACCGCTGCCCCAACAACTGCTGCCCCAACAACCACTGCAGCCTCAACAACTACTGCTTCTCCAACAACAACGACTGCTGCCACCACAACAACTGCTCCCCCAACAACTGCTGCCCCAACAACGACTGCTGCCACCACAACAACTGCAGCCCCAACAACAACTGCAGCACCGACAACAACCGCCACACCGACAACAACCGCTGCCACCACAACTAATGCAGCCCCAACAACAACCACTGCAGCCCCCACAAACCCCAAAAAACCCCACCCAACCCCCCCCCAAACCCCCACCCCCACCAAAAACCAACAAACCCACCCAACAACAACTGCTCCCCCAACAACTGCTGCCCCAACAACCACTGCAGCCTCAACAACTACTGCTGCTCCAACAACGACTGCTGCCACCACAACAACTGCAGCCCCAACAACAACTGCTGCCCCAACAACGACTGCTGCCACCACAACAACTGCTGCCCCAAAAACAACCACTGCTTCCCTAACAACCACTGCTGCCCCAACAACAACGACTGCAGCCCCAACAACAACCGCTGCCCCAACAACCACTGCAGCCTCAACAACGACTGCTACCACCACAACAACTGCAGCCCCAACAACAACTGCAGCACCGACAACAACCGCCACATCGACAACAACCGCTGCCACCACAACAAATGCAGCCCCAACAACAACCACTGCAGTCCCAACAACGACTGCTCCCCCAACAACTGCTGCCCCAACAACGACTGCTGCCACCACAACAACTGCAGCCCCAACAACAACCACTGCAGCCTCAACAACAACCACTGCTGCCTCCACATCAACTGCAGCCCCAACAACCACCACTGCAGCCCCAACAACAACTGAAGCCCCAATAACTGCTGCCCCAACAACAACCACTGCTGCCCCAACAACTGTTGCCCCAACAACAACTGCAGCACTAACAACAACGACTGCAGCCCCAACAACAACCACTGCAGCCCCAACAACCACTGCTGCCCCAACAACCACTGCTGCCCCAACAACCACTGCTGCCCCAACAACAACCGCTGCCCCAACAACCGCTGCCCAAACAACCGCTGCCCCAACAACCACTGCAGCCTCAACAACTACTGCTTCTCCAACAACAACGACTGCTGCCAGCACAACAACTGCAGCCCCAACAACCACTGCTGCCCCAACAACTGCTGCCCCAACAACCACTGCAGCCTCAACAACGACTGCTGCCACCACAACAACTGCAGCCCCAACAACAACCACTGCAGCCTCAACAACAACCACTGCTGCCTCCACATCAACTGCAGCCCCAACAACCACCACTGCAGCCCCAACAACAACTGAAGCCCCAACAACTGCTGCCCCAACAACAACCACTGCAGCCCCAACAACTGTTGCCCCAACAACAACTGCAGCACTAACAACAACGACTGCAGCCCCAACAACAACTGCTGCCCCAACAACAACCACTGCTGCCCCAACAACTGTTGCCCCAACAACAACTGCAGCACTAACAACAACGACTGCAGCCCCAACAACAACCACTGCAGCCCCAACAACAACTGCTGCACTAACAACAACGACTGCAGCCCCAACAACAACCACTGCAGCCCCAACAACAACCGCTGCCCCAACAACCGCTGCCCCAACAACTGCTGCCCCAACAACCACTGCAGCCTCAACAACTACTGCTTCAACAACCACTGAGCATCAACAACGACTGCTGCCAGCACAACAACTGCAGCCCCAACAACAACCACTGGCAAAAACTGCCCCCAACAGCTGCTGCCCCAACAACGACTGCTGCCACCACAACAACTGCAGCCCCAACAACAACCGCCACACCGACAACAACCGCTGCCACCACAACAAATGCAGCCCCAACAACAACCACTGCAGCCCCAACAACAACTGCTCCCCCAACAACTGCTGCCCCAACAACCACTGCAGCCTCAACAACGACTGCTGCCACCACAACTGCAGCCCCAACAACAACCACTGAAGCCTCAACAACAACGACTGCAGTCCCAACAACAACGACTGCAGCCCCAACAACAACAACTGAAGCCCCAACAACTGCTGACCCAACAACAACCACTGCAGCCCCAACAACTGTTGCCCCAACAACAACTGCAGCACTAACAACAACGACTGCTGCCACCACAACAACTGCAGCCCCAACAACAACCACTACAGCCTCAACAACAACCACTGCTGCTTTCACATCAACTGCAGCCCCAACAACCACCACTGCAGCCCCAACAACAACTGCAGCCCCAACAACAACTGCAGCACTAACAACAACCACTGCTGCCCCAACAACAACCGCTGCCCCAACCACTGCTGCCCCAACAACAACCGCTGCCCCAACAACAACTGCTGCCCCAACAACTGCTGCCACCACAACAACTGCAGCCCCAACAACAACTGCTGCCCCAACAACCACTGCTGCCCCAACAACCACTACAGCCTCAACAACTGCTGCCCCAACAACGACTGCTGCCACCACAACAACTGCAGCCCCAACAAAAACCACTGCTGCCCCAACAACCACTGCTGCCACCACAACAACTGCAGCCCCAACAACAACCACTGCAGCCTCAACAACAACCACTGCTGCCTCCACATCAACTGCAGCCCCAACAACCACCACTGCAGCCCCAACAACAACTGAAGCCCCAACAACTACTGCAGCACTAACAACAACGACTGCAGCCCCAACAACAACCACTGCAGCCCCAACAACTGCTGCCCCAACAACCACTACAGCACCAACAATGACTGCTGCCAAAACAACCGCTGCTCCAACAACAACCACTGCAGCCCTAACAACAACCACTGCAGCCCTAACAACAACTGCTGCCCCAACAACTACTGCCCCAGCAACCACTGCTCCCTCAACAACAACTGCAGCACCAACAACGACTGCTGCTCCAACAACAACAACTGTAGCCCCAACGACAACAACCGCTGCCCCAACAACAACTGTAGCCCCGATGACAACAACTCCAACCCCAACGACGACTGCAGCCCCAACAACAACTGCAGCCCCAACAACAACCACTGCAGCCCCAACTACGACTGCTCCCCCAACAACGACTGCTCCCCCAACAACCACTGCTGCCCCAACAACAACCACTGCAGCCTCAACAACTGCTGCCCCAACAACGACTGCTGCCCCAACAACAACTGCTGCCCCAACAACAACTGCTGCCCCAACAACAACTGCTGCCCCAACAACAACAGCTGCCCCAACAACAGCTGCCCCAACAACAGCTGCCCCAACAACGACTTCTGCCCTAACAACTGGTGCCCCAACGACTGCTGCCGCAACAACTGCTGCATCAACTACTTACACCCCAACAACTGCTGCCCTAAGTACAGCAACTGCTGCCCCAACAACAACTGTAGCCCCAACGACTGAAGCCCAGAGGACAACGACTTTTGCCCCAACAACAACCACTGCAGCCCAAACAACAACTGCTGCCCCAACGACAACTGCAGCCCCATTGACAACTGCAGCCCCAATAACTGCTGCCCCAACAACAACTGCTGCCACAACAGAAACTACTGCCGCCACAGCATCGACTGCTGCCCCAAGTACAACAACTGCTGCCCCAACAATTGCTGCATCAACAACAACCACTGCAGCCCCAACAACTGCTACTACCAGTGACGCCTGCTCTGTCCGACTGGGTATTTTCCATCTGCTTCTCGGACTCCTTATCTGTACTCTTTGGTAAGAACAATCTGTGAAGAAGTACCTTTGAACCCATACTAAAAACTCTGAAATTACCTTTTGAATCCTGGGGTTTACTGCCATCTTTATTAGGCAGTTACAGGGGCTAGAAAAACAAAATGTAGGATAAAAGGGGATGGAGTCTGTGTGAAGCTGAGGTGGGACAAGTTGCCACCAATATAAGAGACACACAAGTGAACTTTTTGGTCTACTATTACCGGGAAAACAATTTAATGTCACTTTGTAAATCGTATAAGGAATAAACCAGAATATGCCATGTGGGGTATAATGAGGAGACTTTTTTCAGAGCTTCAGTTATCCGAAAAATCTCTGGCCTGTCAGGGTTGATTGATAGCAATGGTGTAAGAGATCATACAAAAATATAAATGTTCTATAATGTAAGTATTTATGAAATTGCACTGTATTGTTTGTCACATATTGGGCATTCAAGTTAATTAGGTCTGAATATAATTATATTTAATGTATTATGATTTTATATATATATATATATATATATATATATATATATATATATAAACGTTTTGCTCTTTTCTTTTCTTCTTTTTTTCATAATAAATATATGTTTCAGTAGTTTATTTAATCTGATAAGATTCTACTATTTAAGTTTTTAACTATTTACAGTGTATTTGTTTGTCACATATTGCACATTTACATTCTATAATTAGTATACTTTATATACATATGATACATTGATTGTATTCTGTTCTTTGTTGCATCTCACAAATATATGTTGGAGTAGTTTTACTTAATTATATTATATCTACTGTACTGTACTATTATAACCTGTCTAATAAAGCTTTTTTGATGACAACATTTTGAATAACTTTGGCTTTGGCCTTAAAAATCAAACCCAATCAGACACCATTCAATTATGTTCTAGCAATAATGAATGAGAATAACAAAAGTTTGAAGGAGCAATTTTATTGTGTAGGGACGGCATGAGGAAATGTGTCAAGGGGTGGCCAAAACAGACCAACAACCCATTATGACAATGTTAGGGCGGACCTATTGGTGCTTTTACCGCAGTAATAGAACTTTTACTTAATTGAAGTGGTGGTCCAGTGTGAGAGACTGAGGGAAATGACAAAGTTGAAGGTTTTTTATAAACCTAAAAAGGTCTGGGCTTTTGAGAAAACATTTGGGAGTAGAGCCCAGTTCACTGATGCATCAACAAACCTATAATGAAAAAATAACTGCTGTGTATTTCTGTTACTTTGTAAAAGTGATTAAAAGTCACCCAAATTATATTATATGACAATATTTCACAAATAAAGAAGAACACAGTCAAAATGCACATTGGTCAGTACCCTATACACGTTCCAGAATCTATATTTCTTTATTTTTTACAACACTTTTGCTGATAACATCAGTTGTTTTTTGGTTTATTGAGAACATTCTAGTATATTTATAAAAATATCACAATTCTTCACTATCAGGGATATACAAATTTTGTCTGTTTCTATTGTGGTCAGCGGTGTTCACACAGTCCAAGATGTGCTCAAAAATAAGACCAACAGAACTAGACAACTGAATCGTATTGTG